TATAAACAGGACCGCCCTGGCTGAGCCCAACCCGCACTGGGAACACGTCTGACTTATTACCGGCAATGCGGACCAAGCTTCTGCTCCGTTCATACAGGGACCGAATTGCCCACAACAGCGGACCCTGGACCCCATACTCCCGAAGCACCCCCCACAGAGCACCTCGGGGAACCCGGTCGTAAGCCTTTTCCAAATCCACAAAACACATGTAGACTGGATAGGCAAACTCCCAGGCCCCCTGCAGTACCCTTGCAAGGGTATAAAGCTGGTCCAGTGTTCCACAACCAGAACGAAAACCGCATTGTTCAAAAATTCTTTTCACGGCCCAGCAGCGCTAGTCACCCGTTGGCCAAGGTTCATACATGGTGAATTACCAATAGTTGACATGAAGGCTTCCTCGGGGTAGCAAAATTACTGATACATATGCAGTTGAAACCAGAAGTTTATATATGTAAACTTGATGAAAGTAATAAAAATTAAAAATTAAATTCTCTCTCTCTTTATTCTGACATTTAACATCTAACAAAAAATGTTGGTGATCCTAATTGACCTACAACAGAAAAAGTTTACTTTGATTTAATGTTAGACAGTGAGAAAAAAAAGTTTTTTGTGTCTTTTTCTGAAGTGTATGTAAACTTCTGGTTTCAGCTGTACATGTGCAAACAATTACAGACACATAGTCAATTTAAACCAAAATTTGCCTTTACTCACACATGTCCCTACACACAAGCTTACACAAACTCGATGGTGGTGCAGGAGGTAGTGCTACCGTTCGGCAACCGGAGGGTTGCAGGTTGTAGGTTTACATAGATTGTAAAGCGCTTTGGTACTCGTAAGAGTAGTAAAAAGCGCTATATAAATGCAGTCCATTTACCATTTACCATAATGCACAAGTTTGTAAGCATACACACTCACATACTTAACAGGGAACATCCAAGTACATATGGTTTCAGTCAATGGTGTACACACCCTCACGTAATCCCAAATTGGTAGCTCAAACCTTGGCCATTTCTGTTCCAGAAACAGATCAGAATGAGTGTCACCTAATACTCTGAACCAAACATACCTGACAGAAGGTTTAGCTGAGCAAATCTCGTGGTTTTGAAGTGGGCAACCACAGTCACCCAAAGTCAGTTTTCTGGCTACGCCACTGCTTAGCTGATGGAATATAATGAAATGAAAAATAAGCAAGGACCCCTTTGGTGTTTCATCTCAAAACCTGTGCACATAAAAACCACAAGCATATGTGTGATACGAGTGCACAGAACAGCATCTGAAAACTCAACCTCTCTACGCGTTCCCATCTGCACAGTACAGCACTCACTTGCTAGTCAGGCTGAATTTTAATTCTTTGGAGGCGGGATCAGTGGGTAACATTTTCTCTCCTTTGATTGGTCACTTGGATAACTAACTATGATTGGCTGTTTGCTTTGGAAGAAGATGAAGTTCACCAATCAGTCAATGAGGGAATAGCCAGGTATGCATTCTGTCATGGAGCTAGTAAGTCTCACACCAAATTTGAGGTGGTACTCGGAATCATAGATATATGTATGTGTGTGTGTGTGTGTGTGTGTGTGTGTGGTCCAGGTATACCTTACTTTATGCGGACCAAACAACGTGATGAATACCCATTTTTTTACCTTATGGGGACCATAAACTCTATTTTATAAAATCTGTGACTGCAATGAAAAAACTAAAAATGCAAAAAACTGTTGTATTTTGTTTGGTTACTTTTGGTTATGGTTAGGGCTGGGTAGCGGTTAAGGTTGTCATAGTTAGCATTAGCATTTTTCCCATAGAAATGAATGAGCGGTCCCCAAATAGATATGATTACATGACTGCCTGTGTATGTGTGTGTGTGTGTCTGTGTGTCTGTGTGTAGTGTGTACTTAATTAAAGCAGTGCTTGAAATTCAGCGCGGGATTGCTGATATCCCATTCAATTTTATTTGTTCCCGCACAGTCTGCTATCATAATGCAGGAATTCCCTGCTTTGTCTTACTGTACAGTATATAAAAGTAAGAGCAGAATGGGCCACTGTAAGTAAACTGCATTGTGAATAACAACAAAATCATAAAACCAGCTTAGATCCTGAGAACAGCGCTCCCCTGATATTAGTTGCGTCTTGGGTTAGAGTTAAAACTGATGAGAAGTTGGGTTAATATCAGACTTTCACCACAACACATAACAGCTAACCTCTCAATTCAAAGTTAAAGTATATCAGACCAGTAATCAATACAGACAAAATAGGCAAATAAGAGGTTTGAACCTAAAGTGAAATGGAAAATTGTCCAGAATAATACAAGTTACAGAAGGCTACTGTGATTGATAGAGAGAAGAATGTTACCATTAGAATCTCCACACATTCTGTAATTTTTGTTGTTGAACAAGGCTCAGCAATGGGATTTCATTACCTTATATGTGGCACTTCCCCAAGGTCACCTCGAGTCTGAAAAGTTTGACACACATACCACTTAAATGTGATATATTTTGTATTCATAGATAAGTGATGGTTTTTCCATCATTTTTAATCACCCTTTGCAGAATTCTCCATTGCAGACCTAATGACTTTGATTACTCTAATAACTGAAATCAAGTTAAACTTCTTTATTGTTTGTTCAGCGACAACACAATGAAATTCTTAGCTTGTTTACATCTGAATGTTACAGACATATTTAAAAAGAGACTAGAAGTATAAAAGCACAAAATACAGTGATACCTCAGTTTTCGAACTCATTATAACGAATTTCTTAAAAGTGGAACCAACCAGTTCAAAAAAAAAAAACTAGAGCTCGATCTGAATCTCAGAAGTCAAACCGTGAACGCCGACCTAAGATAACGCGCGGGGAATTGAGTTACGCAACACGTCTCTCGGCGGAAACAAAGGGTAAAGCTTCAGTCTCAGCCTCCCGCTGTGATAGCAACGTGCATGTTTACACTAACTGAATGCATATATTTCGACAGTAAAAATACATTTAGACAATGATAGACAGTAACCGTAATTATTATTATACAATAAAATACATTTTAAAATAAAGATTTCTTATTAATTATTTTAATATTAACAATAAACCATTAATACGTTTAATTATAATAATATTGTTGTGCCGAGCGGGGACGGAATGGAGACAAAGGCGCAGACGTCAGGGTATCAGGGAATACGGGGTTTAATTACAGGTAATTAAGGGGCCCTCGCAAACGTTTTGCCCAGGGGCCCACACAACCCATAATCCGTCCCTGAATAAAGTATATGCTCTTCTTGTTTTATCCGGTTCATTTTGTGTGTAAATGCTAAAAAAAAACATATTTAGGTGTAATTTTTCTGGGGCCGGGAACGAACTATTTGTTTTTCCATTATTTCTTATGGGGAAAATTCGATCACAACTCGAACTTTTTAGGATTCGATCCGGAGTTCTGAACGGATTAAATTCGAGTTCTGAGGTATCGCTGTATATATACCCACATCAGTTCAGACATGCATAATATACAATAATACAGATATTATATTATTAAAT